AACAGCGCCGCATGATCATAGAGCTGAGACAGAAATGGGAACCGAGTGCATCCGATAGGCCATCAGGGCACCAGCAAAGACGTTGAAAACAACTGCAATTAAAACAAATCCAGTAAGGCGAGTGAAAGATGGAGAGTTTCAGAAGAGTTTGGGGAATATGAGGCCTAGCGGACCTGACTGCCTGTCACCAAGACTGTATTTTATCAAGTTGGCTTTTTAAAAAGCCCACAACTGAGAGAGTAGCTCTCTTTGTGGAATAAAAGTCCTAGACACACACCAGGGAGGGCCTAGGCCCTGCTCCAAATGATGTCACAGACTTTGAAGATCCCCCAATGGAAGGCCTCACCCTCCCTGGGTAGCAGAAAGGGGATGAGATAGGGGGTCAGTGGGGAGCAGGGGAGGAGAGGAGGGAGAGGGAACTGGGATTGACATGTAAAGCAAGCTTGTTTCTAACTTAAATTTAAAAAAATACAAAAAAATGAAATGAAATAAAAGCCCCACGACTGAAAATTCAGAGAAATGACACAACTGAGGTCGTGCGCCAGTGAATGAACTGGCAGCTGAGCAGACAGAAGACAACCAAAGTTTAGTGAACCAGAAGATAGACCTACAGGAACAACAACAACAACAACAAAACTGAACAAAATCCCACACTGAATACAGAGAGGAAGGAAGAGAGAAAAACGCCGAGTGCAGACTAGAGACATAGGCTTGTTGAGCCCATGTACTGTGCAGAAGACGAGAAAGGCTTAGGGCAAGCCGGCTGAAGCAGGGAGGGGACACTGGCAAAGGTTTTCCATGCTGCAGTAAGATGTTAATTAGCATGTAGGCTTCCCAGGACTCCTGCTCAACACTTGAGAAAAGATAAAGCAGGAGGAAACCTTGTAGGACCCAGTGCACATAAGGAAAACAGGAATGTGCATGCTGTTTGTTCTGATTTGTTCACTTTCTTATACCCAGTGGTAGTGTCTAGTTTAATTTGATTATTCAATCCGTCCCTCACCCAGCATCATAGAAACTTGTTTAAGATATCAAAATAAACTGAGCTCGAATCCAAATTGCATTATGTAATATTTATTATGACGCTGCATGGCTTGTTTTATATTTCGGAGGAGCATTTGTGATTTTTATGTGATAACAGGGAGGAAGACTAATGATGCCGGGCGCGGTGCTGTGTGCCTCAATCCCAGAACTCTGGAGGCTGAAGGGAGAGCATTATGACTCTGAGAGGTTTGCCTGTAACACCATAGCCCAGCGTAGTCAAAACAAAACAACCAGAACCAAAAGAGAAACAAAAATGTAGCTGTTCTATTGCCATACTGCTTTTCATCAAATTTAAAATAATTCTTCTCTCAGGTTTTATAGTTTAAATATTTGTCACTGGAGCTTTGGTTTAAATATGAAGGTTCGCAGCAGCCACTATGTACAATTTGTAAAACAAGGCTGAGCCGGAGATTAGAGGCCACAGAGGAAGTAGCAACAGTGATTTCAGCAGATGGAAAGGGAATGTTTTAGCAGTCGCAAGGAAGTATTCCAGCCTGAAGCAATGGACAGACCAGACACCAGAAGAGGGCATTGGATCTTCTGGAACTGGGGCACAGGCAGCTACGACCAGCTGGAGAAGCAATTCATGTTTTCAAGGGTCTAGTCATCTCTCTTCTCCAGCATGCGCACTTGGGTATCTTCTGTGCAGATGCTGGTCTGAAAGGCTCTGAACTGAATGACATGCCTATGCTATAAAGGGGAATGTATCTAAATTGTGGTAGCTGTTTAATATCAGGCTATTTTCACTTAAAATTAAATAAAAAGGGACCATGGTTTTATTTTTTCCTAAGTATCAGCTTTTTATTCATTGATGATTTGTATTGTTTTGCTGTTTCTATTTCATCAATTTCTACGTTGATCTTAGTTATTTCTATCCATCTATTACGTTTGGATTTGGTTTGATCTTGCCTTTACAGTGTCTTAAGGTACATAGGTAAGTGACTTATTTTTGCACTGTCTTAAGGTACACAATTGAGTTATTTATTTGAGATCTTTTGTTCTCTCTTAGGACTGGTTTATTCTAATATGTACCCAATAGGTTTTGATATTTTGCATTATCTTTATCATTCAATTCTAGGAACTTTGATTTTTTTCTTCTCGTGTTGTTCAAAATGATATTCATCATTCAATAGTATGTTTTTAGTCTCTGAGTTTGTGAATTTTCTATGCTTTGTCTTCTTGAATTTGTCTGTTTTTTTTTTTTTCCTGTTGTGGTCAGGCAGAATGCAGGGAGCTAAACCAACATTTTACTATCTATTGAGACATCCTGTACATCCAAGCATATTATCAATTTTATGGTTTTCTGAGAAAGTGTATTCTCAGAAGGTGTGTTCTCAGAGACACTGGGGTGGAATGTCCTGTAGACATCTACGTCCATTTGTTCTATGTCACTTGACTCTAATGCTTCCTCATTTTATGTTTGAGTACCTGCCGCATGATGAGCATGTGGCAATTAAAGTCTCATGCTGTTTCTGTGTTGGGATAAATCTCTGACCTCTTGTCTGGTGATGTTAGTTCAATGAAGTCGGGAGCACCCGAGTTCGGTGCATGTGCTTACAGATGTAATAACCTCTTGAAGAATTATTCCTTTGCTTCAGTACTGTGGAGAGTCCCTCATCCCCTCTGACCAGCACCAGTTTATAATCTGTGTTGCTATGAGTCATTATAGCAGCTTCTACTTGTTTCCTGTTCCTTCTGTTTGGAGTGGCTGCTTCCACCCTTTCACTCCTAGGTAGTGTTTGTCTTTGGGTGTGACGTGTGGTTTTTTTTTTACCCCCAAGGCAACGAAAACATAACTGCTGTTTTCTGATCCAAGTATGCTCATTCTGTGTCTTTCATTTGAGAAATCGAGGCCATTGGGATGATGGCTACTGTGGAAAGACGTGCTTTAATTCCCATAACAACTTCCTTTATTTTCTTGTTTCCTTATTCCCCCTTTTGCTTGATAACTGTGTTTGCACCATTTCACTTTTTTCTTTGGAGTCTCTTTAGGGTGTCTGTCTTTTCAGTCTGCGCTATTCCTTCTACCACCCTGCGTACAGCTGACCTAGCAGTCATCAACTGCTGTAGTCTGTAGAGAGTTATTTCCCCTGGAATTTTGCTAAGCAAACTAGTTGGGTACAATAATGTTGGTTGACACGGTGTTATTTCGGGGGGTGGAAATGTACCTTTCCTACTTTTCTGGAGCTTTGAGTTTCCATGGAAAAGTCGACTGGTGTTCTGATGAGTCAACTCTTCCCTGCTGCAGCTTCCAATAAGCCTTCTTGGGTCTGCATGTTTAGCGTTTTAATCATAAAATGGCAATGGCATTTCTATTGAGGTCCTATTTATTCAGACTTCTGTATTCCACTTGTACCTGGAAGGCCATCTTTCATTCTCTAGGTCTGGGAAATTTTCTTGTGCAATTTTATTGAAAATGTTTTCTGTGCCTTAGGTGTGGAATTCTTCTCTTTCTTTTGTGCCCATGATTTACTGTTATGGTGTATTCATGTTATCCCAAAAAATCTTGCATGAGATGTCATTTTGTTTTTTTTTTAATTAGTCATTTTCCTCGACTAAACAACCCTTGTTTTCCAGTCCTGGTACTGTTCTCCATATGATCCATTGTACCAGTGAGTTTTATAACTGAACTTAATTGAACTAACGGAATTATCCCTTCGCAACTTAATTTCAGAATATTGTGCCATCAGAATTTCTGTCTCTTTACTGAATTCTACTTTAGTATTGCCAGTTGACACTCTTACATAACTTGGTTGTTAGTTTATGTTCCCTTCGGGGTTTATTATTGTTCTTTTTAAATTTGTGTTTGAAACAACAGTGATTAGTCAAATTCCAATCTCAAAAGTGGATCATTTATTTGTGCACTTACCTGGTGAAGGATAAATTTCTGAAGTCACTGGGGTGTTAACCTTTAGACTCAGAAACATGTAGACCGCCCTTGTGGCTTTTTGTAAATATAAGGCACACTAGGATCCGCTGAGCCCTGGCCTCTGTCCTCAGTGGTGGATTGTCAGTAGTCTTTCTATAAGCCTGTTGGTAGGGAAAAGGCTTTTGGAATAAACAGCACTTCATTTTTTGTCAACGTGTTTTTATTGACTGTTTCTGAATTTCATGCAATGCACCCCAATCATACTTGCTTTTCACTCCTGGAAACCGTACTCTGTGCCTTCCTCCCAAAGAAAAACGGAAAGAAGAAGGAGGTAATACACCAAGTCCATTGTGTTGCTTATATTCTCCCTGGAGCACGGTCATGTTCCCATGGCCCCTTAAAGATGAGTGAGTCCTCTTTCCCACCCACACCCCAGAAGCCACCACTGTGAAGAGTGACTCTGCAGCATCTTTGTCACAACTCTAAAGGACTCTCTTCAATGGCTTCTCGTCTAGAATGTTCCCTTCTGGGGGGTTGGGGAGAGCTTGTGACAGAAGCTTTCGGTGGCTCTCAGTTTCAGTTATGAGTCTGCAGTCATTGACAGCACTGCAAAAAGAAGCTTCCTTGCCCATAACAGCCAGCAGTAACAGAGATGAAGAACTTCTACCTGGCTTCCAGCAGCAGCACCAAATGTGGACATTAACATGTCCTCCAGCAGTAATCTAGGCCACACACACACACACACACACACACACACACACACACACACACACACACACGTAGGAGGAAGTCTGATGCCGCCATTAAACATGTGACTTACTAAGTCTATGCCGCCATTAAACATGTGACTTACTAGAGGCGCATACAGATGAGGTAATAAAAGGGCGGTTTACCACACCACTAACCACACCCACTTTAGGCAGGACTAAAGACGTATACGGCTGGACGTAAAGACGTATACGTACGTAGGCGGAACTACGTCACTAGCCAAACCCACTTTTGGGCATGGCTAGGGGCGTTACGGGGGAAGGCATAAAAGACAGCACACAGGAAGTCTCGGTCTCTTTTCCTGGAGTTCGGCTTCCGGTCCAGTCGCTAGCTGAGATCTGCTGGGCTTCTCTGGGTTTGGTAACTTGTGAGTAATTTTCTACATAAAATACTTAGCGTTACTTTCAGTAATTGTGTGTCGCGTATCGTTACAGCGTCCGTTGAAGCCAACACACACACACACACATCCTCCCGTGGTGATAAGGACCATGAGCATCCACATGGTTTCAGGTGGTTACACACACCACAGACTTCAAAATGGCCACGGGTAGCAGCAGGGACCACAGACATCCACACAGCTTCTGGCAGCAGCACAGATCAGGGACATCTATACTCACCCCGCCCGCGTCCCCCTGCAGCTACATGGACCACGGAGGCCAACGTGTCGTTGTGCCATAGCTCAGAGTCAGGGTGATTTGTGGTTAGGCAGTGAGTTCGGAGGATGAGGGTAGGGAGCACGGGGCATGGAACCTTCAAGAGCTCCAGGCCACGCCGCCCACCGGGTTCTACCATGTGCTTGTAGCCTTGTAGAGGCAGTACCGGGCCCCCTCACTCTCCTCCTTAATTATTTGCACTCATAACCTCTCATGCCCACCTTTTCTTTCTCTCTCCCCAGAAATGTTTTCTATGTGTTATTTAGAAAGAGGGGATGAGGATGAGCAGGCATCAAAATATGAGCAAAAAGATGACGGCGCGATAATGAAAATTTCATCTTGTTCATTAAAAATTTACAGGTGCACCGGGCAGTGGTGGTGCACACCTTTAATCCCAGCACTTGGGAGGCAGAGGCAGGCGGATCTCTGTGAGTTCGAGACCAAGCCTGGTCTACAGAGCGAGTTCCAGGATAGGCTCCAAAACAATACAGAGAAACCCTGTCTCAAAAAAACAAAAAACAAAAAAAGAAAACAAAACAAAATTTACAGGTGCATACATTACAATACGGGTGTGATATAGGCTGTTACTAGTGACTCATTGGCATTTCTATTTAAATGCTCTGCTTTAATCATGGTTTAAAAGTGAAGAGATGTAGGTAGGCTCTTCTACCTGAACACATACACTCATACCAACACTAGTTTTTTTGTTTTTTACAGGGTTCCGTTTCCTGGTCTTTTTCCTTCTTTTGCATTGCAGATTGCTCTGCCTAAGAAACAGACAAACGTGGGGAAGCAGCTTCCTCTGTGTTGCTCCTCTCAAAGAAGGAACCTAGGACTCTAAAGCAGGAGGGCTCATGAGTAGCACATTAAATATTAACAGCATTGGAAACACATTGCAGAACTGAAAGTGTAGAGGGTTGCAGAAAGTCCTTGATTTTTAAGGAAACGTGAAAATAAAAAACCAAACTATGTAATATTAATGAAACATTCCCCGGTCTCTTCCCTCTGATATGCCAGAGCCTGACAAAGCAAGCCCTCCCTTCTGCAAATGCGGGGTTTCAGCGGTTTCCAGGAGAGCCACACCCACAGTTTTCATTGCTCCAGCCTGAACCCTGCTGGCCTGACTCAGACTTCAGCCTCTTCCTTCCCACTTTCCTGCAGTTCACATCCACGGCCAGGCCTCAGAATTAGTCACTCAACAACGATTAGTCATTGCTGTGAGTTATAGCGTGTCCTCCCAAGCCGATGTGATGAAGCCATAATCCTCAGTACCTCAAAATGTGACCTTGAAAAGAGGGTGATTGCATCTGCAACTGGTCATGAAGATGCCATCATGGGGTAAGGCAGGCCTCTCTTCCCATCGACTGCTGTGTCTCTAACAACACGAACACACAAGGAAAACAACACATGGAAACAGAGATTGATATAAGATCTGTTGTCTCAGAGAGAGGTAAATTGGGATTGTGGTACTGTAATTCAAGATGCTTGGGAGTCTGAAGCAGGAGGTTCTCCTGGGTTGCACCATAAGCCACCTTGGAAAGATTCTGTCTATACATATATGAATGTACGGATGCTTATATACACACACCCACATAAATTACAGCAAAGAGAAAACGGGAACTATCTTCCTCCTCTATAGAATGTAGCATTACCCACACCTTGATTTGGATACGTAGCCTACAAATAACCGAGAGAACATAAATCTCTGGCTTTTGAAACCACACAGTTTTGGGGTACCCTGCTAGAGCAGTCTTAGGAAATCGATGTGTCCAGTCTCTCCATTCCTTGACACCCACTCATTCTCTTAAGGAGCCATTACTTACTCTTGTGCCTATGTTACCCTCTCAGCCTACTTTTTTTCACTCTAACCATTGCCATGGCAACCAACTGCTCACAGTTGCAACCTGGAAGCATGGATCCTCATCCACAGTGGATTTCTGTTGCATATTCCCTCCTAGGCTTGAAGGGGATTTCTGTTTACTGCCAAGATTGCACATTCCTCCCCACACATGGAAAAAGTATAGCAGCAAGGCAGTTAGCACCGGAAGGATCGCCTGTTGGACTAGAGGTGAGGGCATTCCCCGCTTTGCAACATCTCAATAGACAATTTATTACCAGAAGTACAGAGAGCAAAGGTTGCCAGTAAGACTTTAGACTGGCGTTTTCATGTCTTTGCTATGTTTGTTTGTTTCTTTTCTCTTCTTTGTGTATCCCCATCCATCAACTTTTGTAGTCTTCTAATTTTATAAAACTCTAGTTAGATGTTTTGCTTCACAGGTACAGAATAAATAAGATAAAGCAGTCTCTATCTACTGGCTTTCCAGTATTGGAATCTCTGCCTAGCAAATTCAACTTTATAATTTGTTAGCTTATGTATGTGAATCTTCTGAAAGTTTAAGGTCTTGTACTATTGTAAATGGTTACTGATCTGGTTTCAGACGTTTGTACAGTTTAAGCAGAAAAGAAACAAAATCACAAACAACTGGACAGATAAGAACTAAATAACAACTGCAAAAGTATCACAAGTAACACATCTCTTACCTATGTTAATAAGTAAAAGTAACAATGTAACTTGAGAAATGTTAAAGCCCATGCTCCCTCTATGGAGACAACATAGCTAGACCCGATTTTCTGAATTATTTTAATGGCTCCTTTGTTTCATTTCCTCCATTTAAGAAAACTTACTATCATAATTTCATCCACATTCTTTTACTTTTTTGGCATTTCTAGTGTACTTAAGCAGTAATTGGAAAAAGGCAATGTGGGAGCATTTATTAGACTTGGTCATCTGGTAAATGGTTCATAAAACAAAATGTAAAATAGTATATTCTCTTGTGCTCAAAGGATATACATTACAAAGTTGTATAAATTCAAAACTTAATTATTGTGAAACATTGAGCAATATTCTACCAACCGTTCACTTATTTTGCTCATGTTCACTCTATGAACTTAAATCATATTACCTATAATTCATAAGCATCAAATAGTATTAGATAAGTATATCTTCAGAGAGCATATTAAAATTATAGTTGTGTGGGGTTTTTTGTTTGCTTGGTTTGCATTTTTGTTTTGACTGAAGGAATCAGGATATTACTGCAATTACGGTATTTTCAGCCCCATTTACAGTCATCCTTCTTCCCCTTTCTTGATTTTTTTTTCTTGACAAGGCAAACTTAACTGTTGATCAAGAGGTTGTACTGAGAAGAGCCAAGGAACACACTGAGACAGAATGTAGATTTGGCTCTTATTCTATCTAAAGTGATGACTGAATCTTTTTCCCCATTGTCTGGAGTCTAACTTCATAATCTTATCGCCTTTATAGAGAATTTATAAATATTATGGAAATATGAAAAAAGTCATTACATATTTCTGTTTTTACTGATACATAATATGTATACTGGAACTACAAATTTACTTTGCATTTTTTTAGGCAAGACTAGTTGGTCAGTTCAAGTCTGATTAAACCAGGATGCTTCTCTGTTAGAGGTCCATGAATTGACTTTCTAATTGGACTTAGGACTCACTCGACAAGAGGGAAGTTATGCCCATTACTGGAAACATAGTCAAATACCCAGGCCTAGTTGAAATCATGGACCTTGGAGGAAAATCTGTAACCATTATTTTACTAAACCAGCCTAATTCCTGACCGTAGTATGAGTATTTGTCTCTATGCCTACAGATAAGTGTGGTATTCACCTCTCATCAAGGAAACTTCTCTTTGAAACACATGGAGACCATTGCAGAAAATCACAACTAAACAAACTACAGAGTTATGATATAACTGATATATCTGCAAAAAAAACACTTTGAACCTAAGTTCCAAGAATCATTGTGGGAGTGGGACAGAAAGACTTACACGGAGTTTGCTGTGGGATTGTGTCTCCTAGAAATGTTAGAAGGGGCATCTGTAAAGTCTCACCAACATAGCTCCCTAAACTTGACCTGAAAAAGGATGGCATCAACAGATATGTGAACATGGATAGAGGGATGCTCATGAGGCCTCAACCCTACCAAAGAACTACAGGTAACTAAAGGATGCTGAGAGAGGGAGAAATCTACCTAAAGGATGCCGAGAGAAGGAGAAATCATCTTTCCTAGGGAAGAGCTCAATAAATGTTTATACATAACCAAATTGCCAGGACTGAAATGTAATCGCAAGTAACACTATCAGGACCTAGCAGGCTGTGTTTGGAATATTTAGGAATATAGTTACGTACATGGATGAGTCATCATGCCATCTTTCATTGTATCTATAGAACCTTTGCCTATAAATTTGCATATTATGCAGTATATTATTATTAAACGATAACATTCCAGTTTTATTTGTATTTTGTGTTCAGTCTTTATTATATGATATTTTCTTTATTTTAGTATGTTATTGAAATAATGTGAGTTAATTTCACTAAATATAGACTGAAATTTCTGTCATACCTGGTCCCTCAGCCCTTTACTCCCAAATAAACACACACAGAGGCTTCTATTAATTATAAACTGTTTGGTCAATGACTCAGATCTCTTATTGGCTAACTCTCTCTTAATCATTAGCCAACTTTTATTAATCTATGTATTTCCACATGATTTTGACTTACCAGTGATGCCCAAGCCACTTTCTTCCTCAGCAGCTAAATGGCAGTGTCTGTCTTGAGACTCACTCTCTGCCTTCCTCTTCCCAGAATTCCCCTAGTCTTGTAGCCCTACCTATACTTCCTGCCTGGCTACACCCTGCCTGTTCACTGGCTGAAACAGCTTTATTCATAAACCAACAAGAGAAACATTTATTCACAGCATACAGAAGGGCATCCCCCACTAACTAAAGACACGTTTTATTTGGAAAATATATAGTGCTCAATGAATTCTTAAGGGATATATGAATGAAAAATTATTTGTATTTGTGAATCAAGACAGGAGGTGTTGCATGCCTTAAATAAAATAAAAATTGGATTTTTTGTGGTCAAAATAATTGCCATCTTCAGAATTTATTTATAAGCCATATAACTTGAACAGGTCATCAAGTAGGTAAAGAATGGCATTTAGCTCACCGAAGGGCACTATCTCCTGTCGTCACCTCTTTCTTGCTTCTCTTATTGCCCTCTTCTTCATCTACAAATGCCACTAAATAAGCTTCCTTTATGAAGTCTGTGAAGATCTGTTAAAAGGCAAGACATTTCAAAGAATATCTTTCTGAAATAGGAAACTAAGTACAATTTTTGTGAACCACCACTAAACATCTGATAACATTATTCAAGCTGCAATTTGAAAGGAAGGTAGGAGAAAATCATGTCCTTTCTGCCTCTGCATAATTCACCCCCGGGAGAACGGAAAGCACCGGCGAACAATGAAAATGGAAAAATCGTGACTGTCTTCACTAATGCTTCAGTCTTGAGTGAACTGCAGGCATCGTTTTCCAACAACAGTCTGTCACGAAACCAAGGAGATTTCAGTTAAAAAAAAAAACAGGCTTTCAAAAGTGTTTGCTTTGCTTAAACTGATAAAATTTGTCAGTGGAACAAGATTTTATGCAAATAATAAGGCTGCTTTTGAGAGTTATCGTAAAACTATAGTTCAGAGTCCAGAGCTGATTCTAGTGGAAAGAGGAAAGCAAGAAGCCTGCTAACCATTAAGTAGCACCTTCAGAATAAGGTGTGTTGATGTGTGCCTTTGAGACCAGCACTCTGAAGGATGAAGCAGGAGGATGGAGAGTTGATGCCAGTCTGGATGACAGCAGACTATCTCAAATTAACAACAAAAGCCAAAGATGCTGTAGAGCATCACAGCTCTGTGAGTCACCCCTCTTTGTGATAGATGCTTGGACATCCATGGAAGACATTGGAAGTAAGTTCTAGGTCATTCAACAAAGGTCAGGTTCATGATAAGTCAACTGGGTCACCTGAATGCTTTCCTAGAGCAAGAGTCTTCAAGAGGACCCCATTCTCATTCCTGTGCTAGATGAATGAAGTAACAATACTTATCTTGATAGTATCATGTATGATTCAGGGTAATTAAAAGAAAAATCCCTCTGCTGAAGTGAATATTAAGCTGCTCTTGTGTGGTGATCTATAGATGTCCACAGGCTTGTAGGTCATTGAGATGGACTCTTTCTTCATACTTAGTGCCATATAAAACCAAGAATGAGGACTGCAGGACTCAGTCACTGGTCAGAAGAACAGGCAGGTGCCCCATCTCTGCTACTGGGAGGAGAGTAACATCCTAAATTTCCCAGATGGCCATTACTAGGTAATTATTTAAATCTGGATCCAGGAACCATAAACCTTACCAGATCATTGTGTAGCAGGCTGGGCTTCTGTTAAAGAACTGGAAAGCTGTTGACTGAACTCAAACGTTCCTGTCAATTATCTGACAAGAAAACCCACCTCAGGAAAGCTGTTCGCTCCTGACAGTTCAGAAATAATGTGACATCTGACCACAATGTACATCTGAGTAATGGTCCAGATGATCACTCTTTCCTCCTCTCTCTTGATGGTGCCCTGCCCTCCACGCAACAGTAAACTCTTCCTGTCTTCTACATTGCACGCAATGTGTCTCATCTGAATCATTTGTATGGACACCGCTGCTGTGATTTTAAAAAGTGGCACTCCAGAGAAAGACGTCATGCAACAGATCTCAGGTAGAGCAGTTTTCTATTGGGGCAAATTGAATGGAAAAAAGGGGGAGGGGAGAAGAAGGGAGACTGGCCTCTGGGGGTACTAGAGACAGAAAAGAGAGAGAGGCAGAGAGAAAGCTGGAGGGAGGGAAGGAGAGAGGGAGGGAGAGAGGCAGAGAAGCAGAGAGAGAAAGACTCACATAAATAGATAATAGAGAGAGAGTGAGAGAGAGAAGAGAGAGAGAGGCAGAGAGAGAGAGAAAGAGAGAGAGAGAAAGAGAGAGAGAGGGAGAGAGAGAGATGTAAGGTGGGCAGGACCCTTTTAAAAGGGAACACAGTGAATGTAGCTGCAGCTGAGAGCACATCCTGTCAGAACCCCAAGGACAGGCCAGTACAGATGACCAAATACTAACAACTGCAAGGACCAGGATACAGCAGTGGTAACTGCTCGCAAAAAGTTAGTTCTCTCCTATAGAGTCTTACTGGTTATACAAACCACTCTTAAGGGCAGGCCCCACGGCCAGCACTAGATGGCCTGCACAAAGTGAACTCAGTGTCACTTTGTGAAGGTTCTTTGACTCGTAATGCTTTGTCTGGTTTCTCTTAACCTTACAAGTCCTGTGCACGTTTATTGTTGCTCCCGGTTTTGTGAGGCTTCTGTGTATTGCAAAAACGTGTGTCTCGGTGTCTGTATGTGTCCCCTGAGCTTCTTCTTTAACTCGTTTCCTTCTGTTTGTTTGACTTCTCCTGTTCCGGTTTGTTTGTTTTGGTTTTACCTAATCATCATCATCATCATCATTTAGAAGCCTGTTTGTATCCTAAAGAAAGAGAAGGAAAGGGTGCAGCTTGGGTGGGTGGCTTGGTGGTGGTAAGTGGGGAGGATCTGGGAGGAGTTGAAGGAAGGGAAACCATCATTAGAGTATCTTGTATTACAAAAAATCCACATTGAATAAAAAGGCAAAAACTACTGTAATCAGGCATGTTTGTGGTCATATTTTAAACCACAGCAAGAATAAGCAAAAATTGATTAGCTATTTGCTACAGAAAAATATTATTACTATAAATAATAGTTCACCAAAGTAGTTTACTAAACTAGACTTACAAACTACACAATAAGACAGACTCGAAACTGTCTTTTTCATCCTCAATTTGTGTATTAAGCAGCTTCAACTTATTGTACCATAAACTGTTACCTTACCTTTAAATCCAAATCAGCTTTTATCTTACCTTTAAAGATGAAAATGAAATGATCCAGTTATGGCCCTAAAACCTAGGCTTCCCTGGTTGGGGTCCTTTTGAGACATTTGTACTTGGTCAGAGTAAAATTTCTTGTGCGTATAGTAGCACAATAAACTTGCTATTGAGGAAGTAAACTCAACATTGCTTGATAATAAGACTTTACTGATTGTTTTTGGAACAGGCATAATGGTAGCACTGATGTTACATGAAAAGAGTCCCAAAAACTAACACTATTTTTTTGTAGACAAAGCACCTGTTTAAAGAAAACCATATGAAAGCAGTTCATAAAAAATCAGATGAAGCTGGGCGGTGGTGGCGCACGCCTTTAATCCCAGCACTCGGGAGGCAGAGGCAGGCGGATCTCTGTGAGTTCGAGGCCAGGCTGGACCGATAGCCTCCAAAACAATACAGAGAAACCCTGTCTCGAAAAACCAAAAAAAAAAAAAAAAAAATCAGATGAAGAGCCGGGCGTTGGTGGCGCACACCTTTAATCCCAGCACTCGGGAGGCAGAGGCAGGCGGATCTCTGTGAGTTCGAGGCCAGCCTGGTCTACAGAGCGAGTTCCAGGACAGCCTCCAAAGCCACAGAGAAACCCTGTCTCGAAAAACCAAAAAAAAAAAAATCAGATGAAGAAATGTAAGTACAAATAATCTCATATGTATGATTTCATTTCAGAGAGGAAGGCATAACTCTTCACTTAGTGTCATCGAACAAAGTGCACTGATTTCTACCTCTATTTATAACAAAACAAAGTATATTCCTAAATCGAAAAGACAAACTATAAAAATACTAGTAATGTATTGTTGGAGGAAGTGAGAAATAGTACAATTGTTTATGAGTAATTTCAGATATTAAAATCATCTCACAAGTTATCAATATATTTCACATGTACTTATCTGACAGGCATGAAAGCATACATCTAAATAAAGACTTGCATGGGTGCTTGTAGAAGTTCTACTAAAGTTAGCTCCAAAATGGAAACAATTCAACTATTAATTAATAGGTACATGGATAGAGACATGAAGTATTTATACAACTGAAAAATATTCAGCAATAAAAAAGAATAAGTTATAGCCTCATGAAACAATTTGGAAAGATCTCAAAATAATGTTGCGGATGGAAAGAAATCAGACACAGGGTAACTCACAGTGCAATGATTTATATTCCAGAAAAATATGAACTAAACACAGGCCACTTGTTGCCTGTTATGGAGAAGAATGAATGAATAAAAAAAGCAAAATGAACCATTTGGGAATGATGGCAAAATGTTGTACCTTGCTTGTAGCAGAATTGGGTTGGATGGTTCCATGAGCATGAGAAACTCATTAAATCATAAAGTGAAAATAAGATGCAGTTTTTATATTGACAGTATTCTCCCCGCTGCATTCTTGGTAGCATTATACTCAATTTTTGTTGGGTCTTTTTGAATCTGTGTTACCAATGACTGTCATTGTTTATCTGCTTTTCCTTCTGTACAAGA